GTCTGCCCACTCTCTCTGTAAAGACATTTTTCCTGATATCCAATCTAAATCTCCCCTGATGCAACCTGAGGCCGTTGCCTCTCCTCCTATCGCTAGTTCGTTGGGAAATGAGACCAACCCCCACCTCTACACCCTCCTTTCAGGCAGTTGTAGAGAGCAATAAGGTCCCCCCTCAGCCTCCTCTTCTCCAGGCTAAACAGCCCCAGCTCTCAGCCTCATCAGACTTGTTCTCCAGACCCCTCCCCTGCCTCGTTCCCCTTCTCTGGACACGCTCCAGCCCCTCCATGTCCTTCTTGTCGTGAGGGGCCCAAAGCTGAACACAGCACTCGAGGTGCGGCCTCACCAGTGCTGAGCACAGGGACACGATCAATCGCCTCCCTGCTCCTGCTGGCCACACCATTCCTGATAGGAGCCAGCAGCCCCTGGCTGCCTCTGGCTCTGACCTGTAACTGGTCCTGTACCAGACTCTGCTTTTGCAGCTGTTTTTTGCCCCTGGGAATCAGCTTGGTTGTGCGTTTGGCCCCTTTGCTTGCAGAAAAGCCGTACTGAGGTTTTGTGCGGAAGGAAGATGTTGTTGGCACCTGTGACCACTATGTGTGAGCATAGCGCAGGTGGACTCCAGCTCCTTTGTGTATCCTGCTTGTCATGAGTGATCTGCACACGCTGCTCCCCACGTAGCATCAGGGGTGTTTGCAGATGCCTCAAAATGTCCCAGTACTTGTCTTGCCACTTCCGTAAGACCAAAATCGGGTTTAGAGATAAGCCACACTTCCTACTTCGTGTTCATAGAATCGCTTACAGACAGGCTTTGTTCTGCAGGTGTCTGTATCTCAGAGACGATGATGTTACCGAAGGCAACTGCGCGAACGAGCTGCTGAAAAACGCCAGAGAGAAAGTAGAGGAATATTTTGTAGCCCCACCAGGTACTGTCTTGCTTATAAAAACCTTGTCATTTTGCTTGAATTAACCTTGAGGAATGTAACCTGCCGTAGCTGCGTTTACTTTCAGAAATACTAGCTGGTAATACGGACGTACTAAAATAAATAACTGTAGCCATCTTAAAAACCAGACAGCAGTCCGCTGGTCCAAAAGCTGTACCGGAGCTAACCTTACACCGAAGATGCTGCACGTGTGGAGCAGTTGTTTACAGGAAGTCAGACAGGACTTGCTCGCGTTCCTTACTTGCTCGGGAAATTTAAGCTACCTGTAGGTACTTAGAATAACCTGGAGAAACTAAGCTGTACTACCCAGAAGGGTCTCACACGACTTTCTTTTTGTTTTCTATCAGGTAACATCCCTTTACCCCAGCTAGGAGAACAAGAGACTTTTCTGCAGGGCTCTTAGCGGAAGGCCAGAACCCAAACACAATTTCAGCATTTTATTTGGGAAAACGAAGGTTTGTGCAGTCGCAGCTGAAATACCCTGGCACGCATTTTGATCAGAAGCAGAGCACTTGCAAGACCATTTACAGAAGGAAAGTGTGAAAAGTTCAGTAGCGCTACTGAAATATTCAGTGTTTATGGAGCTGGAAGGCAGCATGACAGATGACCTTAGTGCTTTAATTTAGCAAAGTGAATTTGATGTTATTCTTCAAGATACTGAATGGCTTAAAGGCTGTAAAGAGAAAGATATGATTAAAAACCCCCAAACACTGTATTTTTCCTCAGCAAGTTTGTCAGGAAAACAGGAGAGGTTGGAAGGCTGCATTTGCCTGTTTCTCACCTCTAGCTCGACTCTGGCTCTGCCCCAGTCAGAAGTAACAAAGTCTGGTGTGGAGGAGGAGTCCGTGACATTGCCGAGTATCTCTGTCACGCGCAGACAGAACTCAGATTTTCATTGCGGAAGAAACGGCACTTTGAGAAGATGATTCACTCAAATATTCTGCTTCTACCGAATGTTTCCATTTTATCTCTGTGCTCCGTGTCTGTATGGGTTACCTTCTGTTTCCAACTTTGTGTTTTTATTCTTGCAAATTAAATACCAGGTGTTGTACATAATTTGAGACAGTACTTTTGAAGCACAGAAATAGCAGCTCTAAAATAAAAAATCTTTGCCATAAGTATTTTTGTCCACCAGATGTATATCTGTAGTGACACCAGCAATATTTTCTGGATTAAATAATTTTTCCATTTCAAACAAAGCGTTGTAGTTGTTTGTGTTATTTAAAACATCTTGTGTGGCTAAGCTTGTTGTAAATAAGTGTAATTACTTGTGAGCTTGGCATTTTTGTTCTGTTGACACAGTGGACTAGATACACGCTGTCACCTTCATTTTTTATTGGAACAGATTTTAGAGATGCAGGTACCCTGGTACCCTTTGGTGCTGCAGGCAGACGTTGCTAGCACGAGGCTAGCAACAGCTTTACTAGAAGAAGCAGTAACTTTTCCTCCTGGATGGTGCCTTGTCCATGTATAGATTTAAGAATCCAGAATTATTTATTCCAGTTTTCATGATCTTTTCTAGTGCATAAAGTTACATCCTGAGCCACAGTGGAATTTTGGTCAGAAGCGCAAGGAAAGACCCCTGAAGTTACTGTAATAGGATACGACTAATCACCGGTTCTGAGTCTGCTCTCACGGCTCTCGAGAGCCGGGCAGGAGGAGGCAAATAGGCTCCTCCATGACTGTGCAGGCACGTGCTTCCTCTGAGGGCGGAAACTCGCCGGGTGACATCGGAACTGGATGCCATCCAGCTTACACAGTGCGTGTTCCCTATCTTTTTGCAGAGAAAAGCCATTACTCCCATCTTTCTGTACGTCTGCATGATGAACACCACCAGCTTGGTGCTTGTGCCCCTTCAGGTCCCACCAGCTGTCTGATAAGGGAAGTCCTAAGTGTGGCCATAATAACTATTTCTCCTACCAACTGCATCTTCCACATCCCTGCAAACAACAGGCAGTACAAATTAAAGATTAATGATACACGTGTTGTTTCTTAACATCTCAAAGTCCACCAAGCATATTAGAACTATCATAATTTGAAAAACACTGAAAAAATGTTAAGAGTTTGAATAGTACTGGCACTAGGTTCAGCCATTAGTGACTTGCTCTTAGTACCACGTGTACAAACTGCTTCGACAAGCTCCCTCTCGGGCCATTCATTACGTGCCCTGCGTTTAATGCAAAGCCTAGGCTGAGCGAGAGGACTACAGCTGTCTGCTGGCAGAAGAAATCACAGCCACTGGGTAGGATCCACTTTCACTCACTGCTCTCCAAGGTTGTATGTTTGGTAAGCTTTGGACCAGTTCTTTTCTGGAACTGATTTTTTTTTCAGATTGCTCTGGCAGGAAGCGAGAGCAAACACTCGTCCCACTTGTGCAGTTACTTCATTTTTTATTTAAGCTTCCCTAATATAGATACATACATATATACACATATGCATAAACCACATAATTAGTACAATACTTTAATTCTTTCAAGGCCGTTGAATTAATCTAATCCCACTAATCCAATTCTCTGCAAAGCTGTAACACTCTGTTAGTGCTGTAGTCCAGCTTTTCAAGTTTCAGGCCCTGCAAATGCTGAAGTTTTACAAATATACAGGCTCAGCCTAAAAGTCATTTGCGATGCATACATAAATCACAACAAGGAAAGACCTCAAGTCACACCACACAACAAGCATGTTAGTGGAGAATTCCCAGTCTGAGAAATCTTCACCTGTTCTATCCGTTTTGACCTCCTCCTTTGACCATCAGAGAGAATGGGGACAGTGTTATTTACACAGAAAAAAGAAGAGGAATTTGAGAGTGAACTGCGTGGCTGCAGGAGCTTCCAACCCAGCACACCATCACGTAACTATTTAAAAGCAACAACCAAACCAACCACGTGGATAAGGATGAGCCCACATTCCCAATGCAGAACGGCCAAGCTGAAAACTGCCGGCTCGTGGCTGCTCCCTTACCCACACACTCTGGTGAGAGAACAGACCCAGTGATGTTCGTTCTCCATAGCCCAAACTGCACTTTAAGTGGAAAACACACATTTCCTTAATGAAGGGGTTTGTTGCAACTCCACCGCTAATAAGGGGCCACAGGAGCTGCCTGTGGGGCAGAACAGGCTGGTGCCTCAGCCTGCCCTCAGCGCGTCCGATGGGGTGGGTGCTGCACCCCAGGGATGCTGCAAAGCTCCCCTGGGGCCCGGCTGCACCCCGAGGTGGGGACGAGACGCCCTGCGTGGTGCCGGCTCACCTGCTTTCGCCGCAGGGCCTCGACGTGCAAGCGGGTCCAATCTGGGTCAGATCTTTGCAGTGTTCTGCCACAATGCAGTTTACAAAGCCAGGCAAGTGAATAGATACGTTTAAGGACTTGTCTAACACAATTGCTACCTGTAAATTCCTTGTAACTGCAGTGTGGAAAATATCATTTGTATTTGTGAAATACCTCATCTTTTCTCAGTGGTTAATAGACACAGCAGAAAGGGAAAAAAAAAAAAAAAGAAATCTTCTTTGGTTAACAAAAACACAAAAGGAAGCCAGATTCCAAGGTGCTGTAAATGTATCTAAAGCCCCCAGAGACCGTGGCGGTAACTTGACTTACACCTGCTAAGGTTTTCCCACTACTGTGGAGATCTGTAACATATAAAATTGGGTTAGAAGCCCTAGCATATAGATTCCAGATTTACAAAGAAATTTTGAAGGTGGGGATTTCTTTGGGTTTAGGGAAAAAATAAAATGGAAATTGTTTTTTTGCTAATAATGATTATTTTATGTTCGGACAGTAACTAGGAGCCCCAGGAGAAATCTCTATTAGATACAGTGATATGGTATTCAACACAGAGCAAAAAAAAAAGCCTCAGTTGAAAAGTCTTACAATCTAACATCCATTGCAAGGGAATCTCATGATATACCGTATCCATTACCCAATTTTCTTCGGCACCTCCCCTACTCCAGCTATCATCTCCCATGTATATTTGTTCTGCCTTCCCCTGCAGCTCTGTCCTGAGGGAAATTATACTTTTATATTCTTGATTAACAAGTAAGGCTCTCATGTTTCTCTTTAAAGCCGTGTATCTCGGGCTTTAATGTTTCTCGTGAACGACATGTATCTCACCCACGCTGACATTTCCTGCAGTCGTCATCACATCTGTTCCTTCAGCTAACCATTTCTTAATAAATGCACAGAAATTTGCCTGCAGCTGCCAAACATGGCCACCTCCTCAGAGATTCATGGGCGTTTCTGAAGTTCATTGTAAGCACTGGGAGGATTGTTAAAGGATTCAGTTCTGTCAGCACAAAACCGTCTGGTACTCAAAGAACCATTGCTGGTGCTGCAGACATTACACACAGTTCCGTAAATTAATTGCTTACTGTGGCCCTGAGACTATTCAAAGCTTGTTCAAGCTGCTGGCACACAACATGTCTCATGCCCTTTCATCTGCTGCATTAAACGAGGTAGGTTGCCTTAATTTCACAACTTTCAGCGTTGTCCCTAACACACACTCCTGGCAGCAAGACAGAAAGCAAAGCTACAAATTGCATCTCTTCTAAAAGGAATGCCAAAACCTGGTGAGCTAAAGTCAGAAGCTATTTCTGAGATACTCTAGAGTACTACATCATCCAGTTTTAATATTTTGGGGACAATATATTCTTCTGAGGTTGCTTCAGAGCTTGCTGAAGCAAAAGGTTGCTTGCAGTTATGCTGCTTTTGCAATGAACAACACTGAGCAGGTAGCTATACTGTGCTCTTTTAAGTCATCCTGTGCTGTTTGCTATAGACATGGTTCAGAATTCGGTTATTAACAGATCAGCAGCCACGGAAGACTCAACAGCAATTTTCTGGCTGCTGACAAGAGTGTAAGCAGAAAGTGCCACAGGGGGAGTGAAACCAACAACATGGAGCACTGGGGATCGCCCAAAGCATCTTGCTTCATGTAAAACAAAAGAGGAAAAAAAAAGGAAAGGGTTGCAGAGGCGGCGAGGTGTGCAACAGATGCCTTAAATGAGATGTAAGAAGTCTGATGGATGTGTTGGAGCAGGTCCAGAGCAGGGCCATGAAGATAGTCCGAGGGCTGGAGCACCTCTCCTACGAGGACAGGCTGAGGGAGCTGGGGCTGTTCAGCCTGGAGAAGAGAAGGCTCTGGGGTGACCTTACAGCAGCTGCCAGTGCCTGAAGGGGCTGACAGGAAGGACGG